AAAAGAGCGGCAGCCTTTGCAGTTATTTCAGAATTGAAATAAACAGCTTTTGCAAAACGCTCCTCGGCCTCCCGGCTGAGCCAGCAGGAAGAAGTCCTGTGATTTCCGGTGATTTCCGACGCAGATGCTGCGACCTTGCCCTGGAGTGGCAGTGGCGGGCCAGAGGAAGGCGGGGGTCCTGCTGATTGGCTGGCACGAGTGGAGGACCGTTCTGCCTTTTTCCTTTGTGGTTAGAAAAAGAGTGTGGTTAGAAATAAAACCATCCAAAAAAGAACCTCCATCTTGCTGACTCTCAGCCTCAGGCTCCACCAGCAGCTTTCATCAGAAAAAAAACAAGTGAAGCAATACCTACAGTATGTTCACCTTCTTACACATGGCCTCTAGAATCCTCTCCTGCCTAGGCATTTCATGCCTCTCCTGATACCTGTGCTGTTCTTCCCTCATCTGTGGACTAAAAGCCTTGCTCCTGCCTTAGTTGGTGTGGCTCAGTGGATTGAGCACCGGCCTGTGAACTGAAAGGTCGCTGGTTGGATTTCCAGTCAGGGCACTTGCCTGTGTTGGGGGCCAAGTACGCAGTAGGGGTTGTGCGAGAGGCAAGTGTTGGATGTTTCTCTCCCTCTCTTTCTCCCTCCCTTCCCCTCTCTCTAAAAATGAATAAATAAAATCTTTTTTAAAAATCCTGCTCCTTGCCCTAGCTCCCTTAGGGCCACTGTATTTACAGACTCCAACCTTTCCTAGGTCGGTTCTTAGAACTCAGAATGGGCTTTCCCACTCCAATGGTGTTATATATGTGGAAGTTTCCAGGCTAGCCCCAAAACACTGGTAACCAAATACCCAGTTGTACAAGAGACCATTAGCTATAGTCTGAATCCTGGAACCTGAGGCAAGAGATGGTGTGGTGCTGGAGGAGGAGACGGAGGAGGGTAAACATGCCCCCTCTGTTTCTTGGGTGTGACGCCAGGCAGCACAAGGAGCTCACCGAGGCTGCTACCCTGACTCACCCTCTAGCCCTTCCCAGAAGTCCCATACCATCCCCAAATCACCCACACAATTTAAAACAATGTAGACTTATCACTGACTGTCAACTGCTTTGAAGCCAGCTGTGGAGTGAGTTGGCCTAGTAGCCTAGAAACTTATTAACGAAGAAAGAGGTTCAATGCTCTGAAAATGACTCAAAGGGCAAAGCCAAGACAGCAATCATGTAGGCACGCGGAAGAGGACTGTGTTCAAACCTCGGCTCTCCCCACCCACCTACTATGTGACCTTGGGCCTTAACCATTCTGGGCCTCAGTTTGCATACCTACAGAATGGGGATGCTACCAGTACCCCCCTCCAGAGTCCTTGTGTAAACTAAGAGTTCTTATATGTGTAGACCACTTAGCGCCATTTTTAAAACACTTATTTTTAGAGAGAGAGGAAAGGAGAGAAAAGGAAGGAGAGAAACATCAATCGGTTGCCTCTGGTCCACGCCCCAACTGGGAATTGAACCCGCAACCTTTCACTTTGCAGGACGACACTTAACCGAGCCACACCAGAGAGAAGCAGCACTGTTTATTTTTGAGGCATAGTCTCTACCTCCCCCTCTGCAGTCTAGGACCTGAAAAGGCAGAACAGGGGCTGATTCTTTGCTCTCCCTTTGGTGCTCAGTGAAGACTCGGTCAATTTCTTTCTTTTTTCTTTTCATTTATGAACTTTTTATATATTTAACATACGAATTAAATATATTAAAAAATATTTAATTTTTCTAGTTTTTTTTACATTATTTTATTGTATTTTTTCCATTACCACATATCCCTCCTATAGCCTCTCCCACTTTGCCCCGCCAAGACCTGCTAGATTTCTATTCGATTGCATTCAAGCACCAAGCCAGCACCTTTGCTCTTTCTCCTTACTCTTTCACCGGTCCGTTGGCCACCTCATTTCTTAGCAGGCCCACACGGGCCCACCTGCACTCTCTGGGGAGGGAGCTCCTGGGCAACAAGCTGAGCTTTCTTTCTCCTGCCTGTCTTGCCTTAGGGGTCTGCTCTTAAGGAGGACCAGGCAGCATAGCATTTCCCCAAGTGACTGGAAGCCCTCACCCTGACTCCGTATCTGCTGGTAGACCACAAGCTTTCATCTCAGCACGCAGCACTGTTGCCACCTCCCACCGTTCCTCTCTGGCTACGGAGCTTCCAGGCTACCCCTGCCCTGGGGTTACCACTTCCAGGCTCGTGGCCGCTAACGTGGTTTTGACGTGGTTTGCACACAGCAGTCCCCAGGGTCTTCCTCAAATATCCCTGAATTGGATCACGTCAGTCCCTGCTCAACACCCTTCAGTGGCTGGCTCTTCACTCCACATACAACCCCATCCCAAACTCTTGGCCAGACCTCAAAGTGCTGTCCCTGTGTAGCACTGGGAGCTTCCCAGGCGCAGTCCGTCCTCCAGCTCGAACACGACTAGTCCTCATTCCCTCCTGCACCTGGCCTGCTCACACGCCCCACTTGGCTGTCATTTCCTCTCAGGTGCTTCCCCACTGAGCTCCTGATTCTGTCTGGGCAGGGCAGCGGAGGCCCGCCTGGGGTCTCTGGGTCCCTCCCTGCACCCATCTGGGGCCTGGCTTCCTGGTGTGAAGTGACAGGCCTTCAGGACCCCGTGTAGCCCAAGCTGGCCTGACTCTCCTATCTGCTGGCAAGCGTGGAGGAGAGCCAGGGACAGGAGTCAAACACTGTCAACTCGATAGAGAAGGAGGTCCAGGAAGGACATGGAAGGTGACTCCTCTCTCTGGCCAGCCCGAGAGAGTCCACTTGAGCCCTTGTGCAAGCTGACAGTGACATGTAATCAAACCAATTTTCCAAGTTCACCAGGAAGACCACTGCTGGGTGCTGTATGACCTAGCTCCTCTATACCCCTGAAGTGCCATGACCCTTGTTACAGGACATTCAAAGTTCTTTATAGATTCCCCCAGCACCTGGCACGCAAAGGCAGAAGGATCCACAGCATTGGCTCCCTGTTCTGGGGTCTTTTGGGGAAGTCCTGCAAAGCATGACAGTCTCCTGGCTAAGGGGCTAACACACATTCCTTAGATTCTCTTGCTTCCGGGGGTCATATGCATTTAAGCAGGAGCCACTATCACCTGTCACAGTGATGGCTCCTTTGGCCTGTAGCATTTGACAGCTGCCTGCTGTGCCCAACTACCCTAATCACCCTTGCATCACCCTTGCTGCCTTTCTGCAGATAAGGGGATGCCAGCCCAAGGGCTGCAACATGGGACACCCCCAAAAGATGAGGTCATTCTTAGCCACCTGAATGTCCAAGGAAGCTGAAGCAACCACACGGATCCCTGAACTCTGGGGAGAGAATCGATGGGTGTGGGCAAGGCCACTGGAAATCAGCAGCTCAGCTTCCTTATTTTACAGGGGAGGGACTCAAGAGTCAGAGGGGGAGGTGGGTGAATTGCCAAGGTCACTTAGGGCAGTTGGTAGCGCCACCACACAGGTGAGAGTCCTCCTTGGCCTTTCTCAAACAATTGCTTCCAAATGCGTAAAGTAAAACAGAGAATCACAACATAAATTTAGTATGTCAAAAGACAGTTACTAAAATATTTTTGAAAATGTGAGCTATGGTAATATATGTGCTTCTTTACTAATAGGTTAAATTCCAGGATCTACAGGTAAGTTAAATAACTACAGTAATTTCAAAGTGGTTATTCTGCCTACCGGCAGGTCCTGTCATTCAGTTAATTTCAGGATGTCTACAACAAAAGCTATACGATCTAAAATGATCTGTCATTTTTATAGGTGACAAAGTCACCAGGCTAATGCTCTGTGTTCTGCGGCCTACATTCACCATTACGGGAAAGGCCAAATTTTGGCTAGAGGCTGGTGAAGATAAAGACAAAATAAGGATGAAAGTGAAAAAAATCATCCGTTGTCACTCCAAGCTCTCAGACACCGGTGCATGGCTCCTGCACTACAGCCTGGGTCTGGCATTGAGCATGACGGTGCAGCGCCCAGCCAGCCTCTTGCAAGATTTGTAACCGACTTGGAACCCGGGGGCGACGTCAGTACCCACCTCTCAAGGTTGTAATGAGAACTCACAATATTGGCGCGAAAAGGCCAGCGATCACCATCCGGGTATTTTGTCTCTCTCACTTTGCTGGGGGAAATTCAAATCTCGAGAAAGGGCGGACCCGAAAAGCGGTTTTGCGCCTGCGCGCGGGGCGGGGCACGGGGCCCTGGGAAGCAGGCGGGAGGCGGGGCGGGGTGACGCGAGGTGACGCGAGGCGACACAGAGCTCTCCCGCGCCCGCCCGTTCTGCTCGAAAGCCGCTAGCCCGGCTGCCAGCCCTGCGGCCTGCGGGGCCAGGGACGGCCGAGCGCGCTGCGGCGCCCTGGCGCGCGGCCCCGCTCATTTAGTTGGAGCGCGGGAGGAGGCGTTGGCAGCGGCTGCTCCCGGGGGCGGAGACGGCTGGCCTGGGAGCCTGGGAGCCGGATGCGTCACCGCCCACTCTCGCCCCGCCTCCGGCTGCCCCGCCGGGAGCTCGGGCCGCCTCTCTCGCGGACGCTGGGTGTACGGAGCGGGAAAATGTCCACTCCCCGGCTCGAGGCGCAACTCTAGTGTCTCCCGTCAGCCACCCTCAGCAATCTATGCCCTGTCCCCACTGCTAGTTAAAAGCAACTCCTCGGGCTCATGTCCCTTCCGCGACCCGGGCGGGGGCGGGGGGGGGGATAACCGGTTCCCAAGGGGGGCGGGGCCAAGTTCGTTTGAGGCGTTCTCATCCGGGCATTCCCCAGATGCCGCAGCCGCCATCTTTGTTTTGTGCTGAAAGTCGCTATTGACGCCCGCAGACAGCCGGGCGAGGGGAAGTGGCAAGATGGCGGCTCCCAGGGCGGAGGCGTGGAGGAGCGTTGAGGGGGCCCGCGGGGCTGGGCGCGCCTGCGCCTGACCGGGGCGTAGCCTGAGCCCAAGCCGAGCGCGCAGCGACCCCAGGCCCTCGCCGCGGGGCAGTGCGGAGGCTCCTTTAAGAGGCGGGCCAGAGACGTACCCGAGCGAGGGCTGGAGGGGGAGCAGTGACGTCACCCTACCCCGCCCCCTCGCCCGACCGTCGCCGCCGCCATGTTTAGTTGTTACTTCTTCACACAAGATGGCGGCTCCCAGGGAGGAGGCATGAGCGCCCTGCCGTTACCGCTCCTCATGCCGTACAGTTGCCACTTCGGGGCCTAACTCTAGCTCTTTGAAGCGGCTCCTGTGGGAAGGAGTCGTAAGGTGGGAAGCGAGGATCGGACGTTTCCTTGCTTTTGGTTTGCAGTGGAAGAACTGACCCAGGAGGAAGAGAATAGGAGAGAAGGGGGAGCTAATCTCAAGATGGCGGCTCCCAGGGCGGCAGGCGCAGCCTGAGCAGCAGAGGCGGACTGAGGGGAGAGGTTCGAGACCTCACAAGCCGTACGGCGCAAGCCTCCGAACAGTCCCCGAGAACTCGAGCTCGTTCCACCGGCTTCCGGCGCGCCTCTATTCTTCACGAGTGTCGAGGCTGTTTCGGGAGCGGCGGCTGCATTAAGTGCTGGGAGGGGAAGCGGGACGGTCTCAAGATGGCGGCTCCCACAATTGTGGTCTGAGCACCGGCGGGGCTGGGACAACCGCGGCGCTTGTGGCTCCTTTCCACCCGCCCCGGAAGCCGGCCAGTGCCGGGGACTTGGGGGGTGTGGGAACCGGGCCGGGGCTCCGCCATTTCCGGCGGGTGAGGGCTACGACTGAGGAAGGGAGGAGAGAGAGGCGGCTCAAGATGGCGGCTCCCAGGGCCTCCCGCCCGAGCTTGTAAGCAGGAGTGCCCGGGCAAGTAGTCAGAGCGGCGGGACTCGGCGGCCTCCAGCTTCTCAGGCCTAGCCGCTCGACAGTTTCGGGACGCTCTTGAGGAGTCAGGGTGAGCGAGAAGAAGGGGAAGAGCCAAAGGGAAGGAGGATAGTTAAGATGGCGGCCTCCATGGAGCCGTCCACCGCTGTGTGAGGAACTGCTTCTCCGTGAGAGCTGCCTTAGACGAAAGGGGGTGTGTGGGAGGTGTTGGGGGGCTCCCTTCCCGCTTGGTGACTTTTTCCCACCGTGCCCGTTCCTGGAACTATGGCTTCGGCCGTGTCGCCCGCCAACTCGCAAGCGGTGCTTCTGCAGCCCCGCTGGAAGCGAGTGGTGGGCTGGTCAGGTCCAGTGCCCCGACCCCGTCACGGCCACCGCGCCGTGGCCATCAAGGAGCTCATCGTGGTGTTCGGCGGCGGCAACGAGGGGATAGTGGATGAACTGCACGTGTACAACACGGGTGAGTGCAAAGCCCGCTGGGTCCTCGGATCTTTCCCTCCTTCCATCTCCTCCTCTCTCTTCCCTCCCTCCATCTCCTCCCTCTCCCTTCTCTCCCTTCCCTCCCTCTATCACTTTCCTCACCTCTCTGTCTCCTCCCTCCTTCCTCACCTCCCTTCTCTCCCTCCTTCTCTTCCCCTTTCCTCTCCCCCTCCTACCATTCCTCCGTCTCCCTCCTCACTGATCTCCTTTCTCCTCCCCTCCCCGACCCTGTGCTCTGCCCTGGCTCTCTGCTCTTTTCCCTGATCTTAAAACCCCTGACTCTTCTGTATTTGAGCGATTTTTTCATTATTGAAGAAGAACCATCTAGTCCGGCTGGTGCGGGGGCGTCGCCAGCGGTGGTGACTTCAGACATACACCGTTACCCGGGCTGGCGGGCTGGCGGATGCGTCCCTTTGGCGCAGGCAGATTCCCACCCCCTCCTTCCCTCCCTCCCTTCTTCCTCCTGCGCCTGCTCATCTATTCATCGCTAGTGCTCATTCGGGAGATATGACAACTTCTAGATTGCAGATGAGTTCTGTCTCGAGAAAAGGGGCAGAGTCGAGCAGCCTAATCCCGATTTCTGGGGGTTGTGTGCGTGCAGCAGCTTTGGGGAACCACAGGTCAGGCAGCTTTGCCGCCTCCCCCTCTCGGCATTCACTTCTGCAATACTTCTCTTCAAATTACCGGTTTTCTTGATCCTCGGGTGTAGGAGATAAATTCCAGTGATCCCGCAGCCGGCTAGGTGGTCCCTTTCCTGACTCTTCTCTTCCTGAGAGGTTGAGGGGGTTAGCTGCCTCCCCCAAACCCAAGGCCTCATTCTTTCCTTGGGAGGAGCGGGATTGGATGGCAGACAACGCTGTGCTGCACCTCTGTCCTCGGGTATCACTGGCCTGTGGCTGTCTTTCAGCCTTTTGCCAGGTGTCCTTGCTAGGTCTCTAGGACTTAGCAGCTTCCCCTCTGCAGCCCCCTCCCCATGGTGGCCACTTGGCCTGGTTTGCACACCTATTGCCTTGTTCCAAGTGGGCTGTTGAAAGGTTGCTGGCCCGTAGTACCTTGCCTTGCTCCTAAGGAGGGGCTAGGCCTGTGTCTGTTCTGTTCTGGGCGAGAGTCTGAGGGACTCAGGCGTGGGCAGGGAAAAGGCACTCCTCTCCCCCCCCCCCCCCCGCCCGCCCCATCAGACAGTAGTCTTTTAGGAAGCTCTCCTCTGCAGCATCAGGGAGGTGTGTATCTTTTGGACATGGCCAGGGGCCATCTGCCAGCTCTTTCCCCCTTGCCACCACATCTAACAAAGTCCTTTTGCTCCGTATCTCCTTTTCCAGGGCTCTGGTGGTACCGGTACTGGCTCCTTGAGTTTGAGCACCTCCTCTAGTTTTGAGGTTGCTCTAGGGTGAGGTTGCTCTGGCAGCCGGAGGGAGAAGTTGGTTGGAGTGACAACGGTTGGAGCTGGCTTCGTGGTTGGGTGCTCCCCCCCGCCCCGCCCCCTCCCCAGGCACAGTGCAGTTTTTTTCTAAACCTTGCAGGTTGTTGCCCCCAACCGACCCAAGCTGACTTTCAAAGGCTGGTGGGTTGCAGTGACCCTTTGCATTCCGGGTCTCAGCACCTGTTGCCTCTAGCGAGGCCAGGCTGTTCGGTGGCACTCTGTGCCAGCACAGACAGCTGCGGTGGCAGCAATTAGCCCAGTAAGGTAAGGCTGAGGGGCAGGGCTGTTTTTAGAGACGCCGTTGCCCTGAGCAGAACCTCAGCTCCTTGGACCGACTTTATTCTTGCAAGGCCTGGAGCAGGCTTCTTGGCAGGGAAATACCATTTTAGAAAGTAGGGCAGGGGCCTAATTAGCATCAGCTCCAAAGTCCACTTCTTCCTGGGGCCTCTGTATATTCGTTAGTTTGTTACAATGAACTGGTTGCTTTGGCCTTGATTTATTCCCAGACTGTAAGGATATGTTGTGTAGTCGCAGAGAGCCAGCCCTCCAAAGGGCTGCAGCCCCAGTTCCGCCAGGGGAGCACTTTGGACACTGCCCTAATCGGCTCCTTAGGTGACTTCCGAGGAGAGCGGCTAGCGACCCCACACCCTGTTCATGAGTGTTTATGCTCCATCAAATACGGTCAGATAGCGGGGCGGGGATGTCTCTGGCCTTTCCTGTAGCTGCAGGGTTCTTGTGCTCTCTGAAGAGATGGGGCCTGATGTTGCCCCTCTCCCACCAGTGGTGGCGCAGATGTCTGTCATCCTTAGCTGCTGCCTCCACAGCTGCTTTCCTGCTTACCTTTGTTTTGTTTTAAATGAGGTCAGAGCGTATTGCCCTTAGGTCTCTTCTCTTGCAGTTTTCCTTCTGCAGGATGAGCGCTCAGAGACCCGCTGATCTGGAAGCATTTCTAAGATCAAAGACTCCAGGGGGCACATTCAGGGGGTGCGCGCGCGCACTTGCACTTTGCTGGTTTGGTTAGCTCAGCAATCTAGAGGGTGACTGGGGGCTGAGGGGCGTGAGTGTGTGGGAAAGTGCTTGTCCTTCCTCTTCTGCTGCAGCCACCATAGCACCTGTGAGACACTTGACCGGCCTTTGGGAGGTCTTAGGGTAGCTACTGTCCTTGACCTCGAGGAATTTTATTTCAGCCTAGCAGAGCGGATTACTCGGAGGACCTGGTGCTGTCAGGGTGGGGTGTGACCTGGTGAGGGGAGGGATGGCTGGTTGCCAAACCAGTCACCCAGAGCTGGTTGGCCTCCGTGGTTCTTTAAGGTCTGCCAACTATTTCAGCTGGAAGGAGCCTTGGAAAACATGTAGTAGAACTTCCTTGTTTTTGCACATGAGGAAATTGGGGTCCAAGAGGGGAAGTGACAGGTCCAGGGTCACCCCACCAGCTGGTTGTGGAGTCTGGCGGGAGCACAGACCTTTATGGAGACTATTAACGTTGTCTCTTCTTTCAGTTAACAGGCAGAGGCCACCACCTTGGAAACACCTCCCTGTTTTTCTGTCCCTGTAGCTAATTGGTCACTGAATTGAGCTTGTCTCAAATCTGTTCCCCCTCCTTCCGGGCTCTCTCTTCTCACATGGTTCTTGCAGTTACTTCCTGATTGGCCCTGTTAGTTTCACTTGTCGGGAAATCCTGTTCACCCTTCGAGACCTGGCTCCAGTGGTCACCTCTTCTGAGACCCCCCCCGAAAGCCCACTCCCCCCGCGCCGTAATCACCCCTGCTCAGTGCAGAGCTCTTTCCGGGCTGCTCTTCCCATCTCAGGAGGAGGGCACAGCAGCTTCCCTACTAGACTGGGAGTCTAAGTATGCAAGCTGTCTCCTCTCTGCCTCCCAGCACCCGGCACCTCGTCTGCCACACAGGAAGTGCCTCAGCGTGACTGAGGGAACAAAAAGGCAGCTGGTGCAGCTTGACCATCTACCTACCCACTGTGCTGGGATGGGTCTCTAGGTGGTGATGTGTGGAGGTTGACAGAATTGGCACAGCATGGAAAGGGGTCGGGGACCCTGATAAAACACAGAAGCTGGGGTTTCGGTCTTGTTGAGGAGAGAGAAGGCGGAGTCCTACTTCTGGTCATCCCGTGACGGGTCCCAGGCGCAGGCAGCCTCCTTTCCTCAAACCCCTCTCCCAGCTGAGAGTGGTGACGAAACGAGAGCACACTGAGAATGAGGGACCCAGACAGAGATTACACGATGCCCTCTGCTAGGTGAGCGCTAGAGACGATGTTATTAAGGGGTGACTGCAAGCAGCTGTCATGTTTAAGAGATGGTTGTTTGTGCCACCTCAGGGCCGGAACTGGGACTGTGGATGAAAAGAAGAGAGGCAGTTGGCAGTTTCATACCAGAAACTATATTGCCTGCCAGAATGCTCTTGTTGCGGGTGCAGAGGGCCCCTGCCCTGTCTGGAATGTTCTAGAATGAGATCAGGACGTCTTGGGTGCCATAGAATGAGCTGGTAATAGTGAGCTCTTAGGACATCCCAGGTTACTTCTAGCCCGGCAGCCGGGTCAGGGATCAGCGTGGCGGGAAAGCTGTGGGCTGATTCTATTTGCCATGTTGCTTTGTCCCAGCTCTGAGTGATGGCCCCATGGCTATGTGCGGCAGCCACGAGAATGCTCAGGTGAGCGAGGGTGGCCAGTGGCCCAGAGGTGGGCACCTAATGGTCATTTTAAGTGGTGACAAGGTTCTTGTCTGTTTCTTTTGCTCTGTGACCTCAGGTAAGTCACTTTTCCCTCCTGGGTTCTGTTCCTTTATCAGTTGAGGGACGTGTTGGCCTAGGGGTGATCTCAGAGATTTCTGACAGCTTCTATCCTACTAACTTGGATGAGATCCTTTTCAGGGACCGTTACTTGCAGGCGATTTGCCTCAGCATGCGAGGCTGCTTGCTGGCTTTTCTTGGTGTGTGTTTGCGCCAGGAATGAGAGCAAGGCAGTGACCCGGGGCCTGGGGCCTGGGTGCGTGCGCACGGCAGGCAGTACAGCATTGCGTCTCTACTAGGAAAATGGCAGAGGAGGGTTGGTGCTAGGCGTCTTGAAGCCCCTGTGACTCAGCTGAACTACAGAGGGGACGGGCGGCTTCTTCCAAAGCAACCTGTGCAGTTGGGTAGCGGGCAGTGACGGAAAAGGCTGCAGCTGTCTCTGGAGGTGCACTTGTGGCTATAGGTGAGGGCAGGCCTATCGGGTGAGGTGCATGTTGGGCCTTGGGGGTGACGACATAGGATTTGGGTTACCCAGCACGCAGGGAAGGGGTCTGGGTCGATGACCAATTGCATGCCTGGGTGGAAGTTCAGGCCAAGAAGCAGTGAACAGCTGGGGCCTCCCAAGGCCCTCCCCACAGGACCAGCCTAACCCCCAGTGAGATCCCAGGAAGTGCTGTGCTACACTGACACCCAAATCCCAATCCCTCATCTTGCTTGTGTTGACCAAAACAGATTAAGGGGCATGGAAGCAAACAGTTGAGTCTGGCCCCCCATTCGATTTTTGGAAAGAGTGTGGCATATCCTTTATAGGACAGTCTTTTCAATAACATGCGATGAAAGAGACTCCTCAAAAGAGAGGGGGACGTTTGCCCCATCACTTTTTCAGGAAGCCCTGGCACCTCTGGTATAAAGGGTGTTGAATGCGAGAACTCAGAAGGGAGGGCAAGTCGTAAGTGTCACAGAAGGCTGGGCCGCCAGGCTTGCTGCCTGGCTTCTCACCCTCTTCCTTAGTGCCCTCCCCAGCCCACCCCTCAGCTAGAGCTGATGGGCTTTGGGGAAGCTTCTGTGGCAGAGACTGAGGCTGCCACAGAAGCTCAAGTTACTGCTGCCACCTCTGGCTTTTGAGAACGTTCTGGAGGGATGTGATCGTGGCATGGGGAGAAGGTCGATGCGGACCATAACCTAGGAGATACCAGCAGAGATTGTTCTTGTGTGTCCTCTCTACACACACACACACACACACCCGCCCCCACCAGCAGGCCAGGCTGTCTTGATTGGCTTCCTTCAGGTGCCTCGAACCTGCAAGGAGGAAGGACACCAGCCAGTACCAGTCACTTTTTCAGTCACTTAGAGTTGCAGCCATGGGCCCACAGGAGGAGGAGCATGGAGTCACTGAGAGAGTATGTGGGTGTTAGAAGTTTCTTTCTGAGGACCCACTGAGCAGTAGGGGAAGGAAGTCAATGGCCGTATTCCCAGAAGCTGATGAATTGCCTTGGTCAGTAGTGAGTGGCTCCTGGCTCTTTAAGGCAAACCTGATGAGAAACAGGGTGCTTGCAGACTATTTTGAGGCGGCCTCTCAGGTCAAGGGGTTTTGAAGATGGCTGAGGTAGAGGGCTGGCACTTGAATGCTGAAGGGAGAAAGTCCCATATCCTTGGAAGTAGAGGCACTGTGTTGGCCCCTCCTTTCTTGGGCCTTAGTTTGAACTTTTTTTTTTTTTTTTTTAAAGAGAGGAGATGGGAGGGAGAAAGGGAGAAAAACATCCGTATGTGAGAGATACATCTATGGGTTGCCTCTCGCGCGCCCCCAAATGGTGACCTGGCCCGCAACCCAGGCATGTGCCCAGAATGGGAATTGAACCAGCGACGTTTGGCTTCACAGGCCGGCACTCAGTCCACTGAGCCACACCAGCCAGGGCTTTGGCTGTATTTTGTAGGCTGGTGGATTTGGGGAGTAAGAGGAGTGTGGGGACTCCGGTTCTAGGAGTTCCCGAGTTGTCCTGACTTCTGCTTCCTTTTGTTCACCAGCAACCAACCAGTGGTTCATCCCAGCCGTGAGAGGGGACATACCCCCTGGGTGTGCAGCCTATGGCTTTGTGTGTGACGGGACTCGCCTGCTGGTGTTTGGTGGAATGGTAGAGTATGGGAAATACAGCAATGACCTCTACGAGCTCCAGGTAACAGCCCCTAGTGTACTCCTTACAGTGTTGGCCGGGGGGTGGGGGTGGGGGTGGTGAGGCAGGAATGAGGCGGTGAAGGGGCTGCTCAAGATGCTGTCTAGGCCGCACGCTGCCCAGGACCTTCTCCAGTCAAGCACCTACCTCAGCCTGGCCAGCTCCTCCCTACATGACAAATAGCCTGGGCCCAGAAGACGGGCTCATCCCTGATTCAACCACCCAGTCTTGATTTTGCAGGCAAGTCGATGGGAATGGAAGAGACTCAAAGCAAAGACGCCCAAAAACGGGCCCCCTCCATGTCCTCGGCTTGGGCACAGCTTCTCTCTTGTGGGCAACAAATGCTACCTGTTTGGGGGTTTGGCCAACGATAGCGAGGACCCCAAGAACAACATTCCGAGGTGAGGCTGTGTCCTCTTCATGTGGAACCAACCCCACACACCAGCCAAGCCCACCATCCCAAGTCCTTTTCCTTTGTGAAAAAAGAGGTGGCACTAGATGCCCTGTAAGGAGCTTTTCGGCTCTGAGAACTCTAACCCTGATGGGGCGTTGGGAAAGATGGGCCAAGGTGGGAGGTATAAACTTTCTTTGCCTTGGGCTGGTTCCTATTCCTTGGACCCAGTGTAAAGCCAGTGCTTTCTGGGGTTTCTGCTGCCTGAAGGGTTAGTGATGGTTTTTAAAAATATATATATTTATTTTTAGAGAGAGGGAAAGGAAGGGAGAAAGAGAGGGATAGAAACATCTATATGTGAGGGAAACATCACTTGGTTGCCTTTCACACGTACCCAACTGGGGACCTGGCCAGCAATCCAGGCACGTACCCTGACCGGGAATTGAACCGGCGACCTTTCGGTTTGTGGGATGATGCCCAGTTCACTGAGACACACCAGTCAGGGCAGTGATGGTTATTTTTATTTTCCAAGGCTGGCGACCAAGGGCTTTTCTAAAGTTTGGGAGTAATACCAAGCTGGAGGCCCTGGTATAATACCCAGCTTTGTGCAAGGCAGCCCAGCATGCCCTGTCCTGCTGCTCCTTTTGGACTCATGGTCATCCTCAGTAGCTTTTGGCAGCCCCTCCTTGGGAGCGAGGGTAGAAGAACTTGCTCATGTGATCATAGCCCCCTCTGTGCCCCAGGGAATCCACGGTTCACCCATAGAAGCTGGTGAGCCCTCCGGCACATGGAGTTGGGGCTAGCCATAACTGACTTTGCTTTTCCAGGTACCTGAATGACTTATACATCCTCGAATTACGGCCAGGCTCCGGAGTGGTAGCCTGGGACATCCCTATCACTTACGGCGTCTTGCCACCACCGCGGGAGTCACATACTGCCGTAGTCTATACTGAGAAAGACAACAAGAAGTCCAAGCTGGTGATCTACGGAGGGATGAGTGGCTGCCGGCTGGGGGACCTCTGGACCCTGGATATTGGTAAGATGTGGGTGCAGCTTCTCCCATAGCCTCAGAGCAAAGCTAGTCTGCTGGGTGGCCAGCATGGGATGGTTGGGGTGGGGCTCACAGGGAGAAGGAGTGTCCCGCTTGGCTCTTGGTCATAGGAGGGTGAGGGCGATGCCCTGTTTGGGGCTATCATCTTTGCCCTGAGCTTATGGCATTGTTTTTAAGAAAGAACAGGGCCGGATGGCTCTGCCAGCTTATAGGACAACAAAGGAAGAGATCAAGATCACAGCCTTTCTGAAATTGAATTGTCTAACCCTGGCTGGTGTGGCTCAGTGGACTGAGCGCTGGCTTGCAAACCAGAATGTCGCCAGTTCAGTTCCTGGTCAGGGCACACGCCTGGATTGCGGGCCAGGTCCCCAGTGGGGGGCATGCGAGAGGCATCCGGTCAATGTTTCTCTCCCTCTCTTTTCCCTCCGTTCTCATCTCTCTGTAAATAAATAAAATCTAAAAAAATAAATTGAGTTGTCTAGATTAGGTAGCACTAGTCCCTGGCGATTCATGAGCGGTCAGGCTGTTCCAGGAGTTGTGCATACTGGTCTGTTGTAGTCAAATGGGATCTAGAGCCTGTGAAACCTCTGGGGGCTACTTGGGCTGGTAACCGGTGCAAGTGGGATGTCAGGAGTGGTAGAAAAAGGTGTGGATTTTTGACCGGAAGAAGGCTGAGGAGGGAAGGTGGCCGACAACATATTTTTAGAGACTGGATTAGATCGTTGTGGGTACCCAAAAGGAATGGGCTTTTGTGAGCGAAATTCCTAGCAACGTGGTGCTTCCCCACACTCAGTCTATAGAGAGCGGACGTGGTGTGGGTGTGAATGCATTTTGTGGCGAGCAGGACCCACAGTGGCCTGTCTTGCGCTCCCTGCTCCTACTCCAACCCCGAGGGCAGTGCTAGCCCAAAGCAAGCCTTTGAAGAGACACTGATCGCAAAGATTGTGAACATAGCTTGAGAAGTGCCAGAACCTGATCCACAGGCTTCCTGCGGGCAGTAGGGAGGCCAGACATGGAATTCTTGGGCTGAGTCGGCACCCGCCTTCCAGAGCCTACCCCAAGGCCAGGGAGCTTCATCTGGGTCACAGTGCATGTTTCTGATCCCTTGTGGGTAACTCCTTTCTCCGTTGCTCTGCAGAGACTCTGACGTGGAATAAGCCCAGTCTCAGTGGAGTAGCACCTCTTCCTCGAAGTCTCCACTCGGCCACAACCATAGGAAACAAGTGAGTAGCTAGCTCTCTTCCTAGCCCTCTCCCTGCCCACTGTCGCCCCTGGCCCCAAAGGGCTCTCAGTTTTGTTCCAGTAATTCTGAGGCAGCCTCTTTCTGGCTGGGCTGGCATTCAGCAGCCCTCTGTTTTCATTACGACCCTAGGGGACTGAGAGAAGGCAGACTCAGGGTAGAGGGGCACAGACCATTCTAGGTTTTCTACATAAAATAAGCAGCTGGGTGTCTTTGTCAATACCAAGGTCCCAAAGCGAATGTAAGAATAATGGGGACTGAGATGAGCTTTAGATAGGCTACATAGTGGTTCCATGTAGTGGAGGTGACACAGTTCTTGTGAGGGCTGAGCCACCCAGCAGAAGAGGGCGACATTGAGAGCTTCATGCGCCCTAGGGAACTCTCCTGGGGAGAGCTAGAGGACCAGGTGTGTTCAGAACTTTCTGGATGGAAGAGGTGGCCTCTAGCTTGGCACCTCCTCTACAATCGTCTCCTACTCTTCCCTCCCTCGTCCCAGAATGTACGTGTTTGGTGGCTGGGTGCCTCTCGTCATGGATGACGTCAAAGTGGCCACACACGAGAAGGAGTGGAAGTGTACCAACACACTGGCTTGTCTCAACCTGGGTATGGCCTCCTCGGGCTTGGAGTGGCCTCTGGAGGGCTGTGAAGCTTGGCCCTTCTTGGCCCCGAGAGTTGTGTGGGGTGTGCAGGGGGCAAAGCTTCTAAGGCCTGTGCCTCTGGAATCCGTGAGAAGTAGCCACTGTCAGAGTGTTTGGAGGGACCCTCTTCTTCGTTTGTTGAATAGGCTCTTCCTACACAAGGTCCAACGTACAAGAAGTACATAAGCCTAAGCGTGCAGGGACTTTTCTGCAAATACAAGCATTGCTGAAAGGCTCCCTTAGAAACCAAGTGAGAGCCTACTCTATGCGGAGCCGCCCCTGGCCTTTTTCGTTTCCTCTGTTTTGGAGACCATCCCATCCCCACCTGCCAAGCGGCCTCATTCTTTTGAATTCCTATCCTGGTGTCAAAACTTGCGCAGACACTACTGCACGAGTATCCTTGCACCGTTCTCACCCACATGCAAGTGTATCCGAAGGGTGAAAATCTCAAGAGAGAATGGTTGCCAAGCTGCCCTGCGCGGTGGCTCTACCCGCAGAGACACCCCCAGCAGTGCCAGCACAGTGGCTGTCAAACCTTTTGCTCTTCATCAAACCCAATAAGTGATTACATCTTCCCATGGGCCAGTCCCATGCCCCTTGCTCACCTTGAGCCCCAGCTGCAGCAGGCACTGAAATCACACTACCAGCACCTTATGGGTTAAGTTTGCACCTCTTATTTTGAGTGCAGTACTTCGTTTTTTTTAGATCTGTTGCCTTTTTCATAACTTGCACCTCTCCTTGCCCGTCTCTTTCTATGAGGTCTCATGTAGTTGATGGGCAAGAGGTGAAACCTCTGGCTGTGCATTTCAAATAGTTTTCCCAGATGGTAGTTCATGGTTTATCATTTTCTTTGTTAGGCTCTTTTGGCCATACAGAGCTGTCATTTTGGGCATTCGTTTTTTTCTAATTTAGTGATCTTTGATGACTTTCTGGTTTTAATTCTCCATCCCTGACAGCAAAAGGCCAAAAGGCTAGTAGGAGTTGTGGGTTCCTCTGCCCCCTTGCTGACCTCCGCCTCCTGCTCTCCCCAGATACCATGGCTTGGGAGACCATCCTGATGGACACACTGGAGGACAATATTCCCCGGGCCCGAGCTGGCCACTGCGCTGTAGCAATCAACACCCGCCTCTACATTTGGAGTGGGCGTGATGGCTACCGAAAGGCCTGGAACAACCAGGTCTGCTGCAAGGACCTCTGGTACCTGGAAACCGGTAAGGCCAACTGGAGGAGGCAGCCTTAGGGCCTTCCACAGTACGACTGAGCCTGAGGGCATAGCCACCTCCCACGCCCACCCCTGAAGCCTCTGCCTCCTCACTGACTGTGCTCTCTTACAGAAAAGCCACCGCCTCCAGCCCGGGTACAGCTGGTACGAGCCAACACCAACTCCCTGGAGGTGAGCTGGGGGGCAGTGGCAACCGCCGACAGTTACCTTCTGCAGCTCCAGAAATATGACATTCCTGCCACGGCTGCTACTGCCACTTCCCCCACACCCAATCCGGTCCCGTCTGTGCCTACCAACCCTCCCAAGAGCCCTGCCCCTGCAGCAGCCGCACCTGCTGTGCAGCCGCTGACCCAAGTAGGCATCACACTCCTGCCCCAGGCTGCCGCCACGCCCCCGACTACCACCACCATCCAGGTGTTGCCGCCAGTGCCTGGAAGCTCGATTTCTGTGCCCACTGCAGCCAGGACTCAAGGTGAGCCAGGGCCCAGGCACCTGAGAGTAGGGGCTGGCCCACCGGGAGAGTACACTTCTGAGTACGGGCTGCTGAACGGCACGCCCAGCAGTGATCAGTGCAGGCTTGGTATTGAGTGCTGGTGGTGGGGGTGGGGAGCAAACTCCGTCTCTCCTGTGGAGACTGTCGCTTGAAGGTATCTGGAAGGGCCAGGCATGAAACGCCAGCAGTCCATGTCTAAATGCTGAAGGATCCAACAGAGGGACTGGGTGGGGGGGGCCTCCGGTGATGGCCCCTTTTCTCTTCAGGTGTTCCTGCTGTTCTCAAAGTGACTGGTCCTCAGGCTACAACAGGAACCCCGTTGGTCACCATGCGACCTGCTAGCCAGGCTGGGAAAGCCCCTGTCACGGTGACCTCCCTTCCTGCAGGCGTGCGAATGGTTGTGCCTTCGCAGAGCGCTCAGGGGACGGTGAGGAGCCACTGTGAGACTGGGTTGGGTGGGGCAGGACTTGCCAGTGATTGATGGTGTCCTGACTGGGTTAGAATCCCACCCAGCTCCAGCACCATTTATCCTGGCCCTTTCTGGCCAGTAAAGCACTGATGAGGTGACCTTTCATTGCCAAGTTAATGAGAATGAACAAGTTAATGCCTCAGAAGGATCCCCCTGCCATCTGATCCCAAGGACCGTTGTTTTGGTTTTGGTTTTGGTTTTGGTTTTTTTGGGTTTTTTTTTTTCCCCTTAAGATTTTATGTATGTATTTTTTTAGGGAGAGGAGAAGGGAGTGAGAAAGAGGGAGAAAAACATCCATCTGCTGCCCCCCACATGCCCCCAGCTGGGGAACTGGGTACCTGGCCTGCAACCCAGGCATGTGCCATGACCTGGAATCGAATCAGCAACCTTTCGATTATCGGGCCGGCGCTCTATCCCCTGAGCCGCACTGGCCAGAGGCCAAGGGCCTTGTAAATTTTTTTAAATGCTTGTAAGATTTTTACAAAATTTCTGTTTATTGATTTGAGAGAGAGAGAGCAGTTTGTTCCACTTACTGATGCGTTCGTTGGTTGATTCTGGTGTGTGCCCTCACTGAGGATCAAACCCGCAGCCTTGGTGTATTGGGACAATGCACTAACCAACTGAGCTACCTGGCTAGGCCTCTAAGGGCCTTTTAAATGTGAGCTTTCTTGTTCTGAAGCCTGAGGGGAGATTCTAGAGGTGGGGAGGATGGCTGACCCAGGCCCATGAAGAGGGAGCCATCTCTCGACTGTTCTTTAGAAAAGATCCAGAGCTGCTGACAAACTCTTGCCTTGGGTTCATTGTGCCTGCTCAGTGGTAGGAGTCCAGGTTTGAGGCCAGAAAAACTTGAGGTGCTTCTGTGAGGAGCCCTGGGTGGGAAGGAGGCTCCCTGATGAAGTGTGTGGAGCCGGGAGTGAGGCGGCCTAGGTCCCAGTGCTCTGATTCACGCTCCCTGTGAACACCACAGGTGATCGGCAGCAACCCACAGATGAGTGGGATGGCTGCGTTGGCCGCTGCAGCCGCTGCCACCCAGAAGATCCCTCCTTCCTCAGCGCCCACAGTGCTGAGTGTCCCAGCAGGCACCACCATTGTCAAAACTGTGGCTGTGACACCTGGGACTACCACCCTCCCAGCCACTGTGAAGGTAGCCTCTTCGCCTGTCATGGTGAGCATTCCTCAGGCCTGGTTCTGAGCCAACAGCCTTGGGGCTAGGGGCTTCTGGGCAGTAAGTGTAATCTGACAGTGGTCGCTTCTCCAGGGCTTCAGACCAACCCACAGAGGCTGTTGGTCTGTCATTGGTGCTTGCGTGGATTCTAGAATAAGCTTTTACCCTTAGGGATGTCACAGCCTTAGGCTAGACCTGGGGTTGGGTTGTTCAGTCAACCAAACCAAGCTTTTCAGTCTGGCAGGGGGAAAGGGAAAGAGTTGGGGGAGGTCAGCCAGACCCGTAGGCCTGCCACGACAACTCTCTTGGTTCCACCTGTCACGTGTCTTTCTCCCCCCGCCCAGGTGAGCAACCCGGCCACTCGTATGCTGAAGACTGCAGCTGCGCAGGTGGGGACGTCGGTCTCCTCCGCTGCCAACACATCCACTCGCCCCATCATCACCGTGCACAAGTCCGGGACTGTGACTGTGGCCCAGCAAGCCCAGGTGGTGACTACGGTTGTGGGAGGGGTCACCAAGACCATCACCCTGGTGAAAAGCCCCATCTCTGTCCCAGGAGGCAGTGCTCTGGTGAGTGGTGGGTGCCACCCTGCTGCACATGGCAGCTGCCAGGCTCTGGTACTGCCCTGGGCCTGAGCCAGGAGAACCCCAGCCCAGGCTATGCCCTTGATTGGTTTTCGGATAACTCCCTGCACCATCCTTTGCTTTTTAGATTTCCAATCTGGGCAAAGTGATGTCAGTGGTCCAGACCAAACCAGTTCAGACTTCGGCGGTCACAGGCCAGGCATCTACAGGCCCAGTGACTCAGATCATCCAGGTAAGCTTGTGGGTCCCAGCCTCTGCAAATCACGCAAGTAGAACTTGCATCCCTGCCTAGAGAAGATGCCTTGAGCACGTGTTGCACAGAAAGTCCTGCTGCTCGGTCCTGTCACCCACGGTCTTCAGAATAGTCCCAGTGCTGTTGGGGCTGCGGTGGAGAGTAGCCAAACCATCCTTTCCATCAGACTTTGTTTCCGTCCTGGCAGTGATGCCGGTCTACTTCGCCCTCCTCCACCTATTTTCCCTTGCAGACCAAAGGGCCCCTGCCAGCCGGGACCATCCTGAAGCTGGTGACCTCAGCAGATGGCAAGCCCACCACCATCATCACCACCACGCAGGCCAGTGGGGCTGGGAGTAAGCCCACCATCCTGGGCATCAGCAGCGTGTCCCCCAGCACCACCAAGCCTGGCACAACCACCATCATCAAGACCATCCCCATGTCAGCCATAATCACGCAGGCAGGCGCCACAGGTAGCGGTTTCCCCTAGCGGGTGGGCAACAAACTGTCAGCAGGCTAACGCCAGACAGGCATAAAGGCCACGCTCTGCCGTGCTCTTGTTTCCGTTGGGTTTTTCCCCTCTTCTCCACCCTTGCCTTACCTTTTATTTAAGGTTTGCAGGGAGGTGGCGGAGCCCGGCTTTAATTGGCACTTCATCCTTTGAAGCGAGGGGCATCAGGAGTAACTACTGGAAACGGGACGTGGGCGCTGGTGCTGGCGCTGGTGCTGGCGGAGCTTCGGAAGCCCAGCCTGAAGCCCAGCTACCCCTTCTCTCTCTTGTCTAGGTGTGACCAGCAGTCCTGGCATCAAGTCCCCTATCACCATTATCACCACCAAGGTTATGACTTCAGGGACTGGAGCACCCGCAAAAATCATCACTGCTGTCCCCAAAATTGCCACAGGCCACGGGCAGCAAGGAGTCACCCAGGTGAGGCGTGCCCGACCCTCTTTTCACCCCACCATCCGGCCCAGGACGCGAGTGGGCCATGTGTTTCCTGAGGGTCCTGGGAAGGGGGCATCATGGGATCGGACCAACCTGTGAGTGGTATTGGGCATGGTTTCCTCTGGTGTTCCAGGTGGTACTAAAGGGGGCCCCTGGACAGCCGGGCACCATCCTACGCACTGTGCCCATGGGGGGCGTCCGCCTGGTCACCCCCGTCACTGTTTCTGCCGTCAAGCCAGCAGTCACCACATTGGTTGTCAAGGGCACCACAGGTATGGAGCTGCTTCGAATATTCTTTTCGGGTCTACCTCCCATAGGAGGGTCGAGGGAGGGTGCAGGTGCTCTCTCCAGAGCCTTCTGTTCCTGCCGGGAGCACTCTAGAACTCCCAGTGCCTCTGGCCCTGTCCGGGGAGAAAAACTGCTGGAAAAGATGCGCCAGCAGCAGGCCTCATCTTGATCGTGCCTCTCCCTGCCTTTAGGCGTTACAACCCTGGGCACGATGACAGGCACTGTTTCTACCAGCCTCGCTGGAGGTGGGGGCCACAGTACTAGTGCCTCCCTGGCCACACCCATCACCACCTTGGGCACCATTGCCACCCTCTCAAGCCAGGTGATCAACCCCACGGCCATCACTGTGTCAGCCGCTCAGACCACACTGACAGCGGCTGGTGGTCTTACCACCCCCACCATCACCATGCAGGTAAGGCGGGTGGGAGTGCGTGAGGGATGTGAGGGATGTGAGGGATGTGAGGGATGTGGGTACGTGTCAGTGAGGGCTGTCGGAAAGCATGTGAGCCCCCAGCCTGAGGTGTTTGGTCTCATCTTTCTGCTACCGTGTGTGCCAGGTGTAGCACCCATGGGATGTGTTCCCTGTTGCAAAATCATAATTTTTTTTTTAAGATTTTATTTATTTACTTTTAGAGAGAGGGGGGAAGGGAGGGAGAAAGAGAGGGAGAGAAACATCCATCAGTTGCCTCTCACACACGCTTGAACCAGAGATCTGGCCTGCAAGCCGGGCATGTGTTCTCACGGGAAATTGAACCAGTGACGTTGTGTTTGCGGGATGCTCAACCAACTGAGCCATGCCGGTCAGGGCCGGAATCATAATTCTTAATCACTCATAGTCTGTCGTTGAGACATATTTCGGTCATTTATAGCTGTGAACACTAGGTTCTTCCTCCGTGATATAGCTAATGCAACCATTTATCTTAATGTACAAATAGCAATTTTCTTTTTTTCCACATATCTTAAGCTGAATTCCTGGAATTGGTGAAGCAGCCATTGCTGGCCTTTGTGTGGTGGGTGCGGGGTCAGCGGGGTTCCTTCCCTGACCAGGCCTGGCCCCACCCAGGCCCTGTGGCCTTTGAGGCAAAGCAGTGCCTCTTCGTTGGTCCCTGAGCAAGTCGGTGTCTTGGGATCAGAGGGTGAGCAGGAGCCCAGTCTGTATTCTCAGCTGGTATTATGGGTGACGCTGTTGGACATCGCGAGGGACGAACAGATGGGAAGTTGTGGCACTAATTCTTGTGTCTGGCGTCTTTCCAGCCTGTGTCCCAGCCCACCCAGGTGACTCTGATCACGGCACCGAGCGGGGTTGAGGCCCAGCCTGTGCACGACCTCCCTGTGTCCATTCTGGCCTCACCTACTACAGAACAGCCCACAGCCACCGTCACCATTGCTGATTCTGGCCAGGGGGATGTGCAGCCTGGCACCGTGACGCTGGTGTGCTCCAACCCCCCCTGTGAGACCCACGAGACGGGCACCACCAACACGGCCACTACCACCGTCGTGGCTAACCTCGGAGGGCACTCCCAGCCGACCCAAATGCAGTTTGTCTGTGACAGGCAGGAGGCAGCCGCTTCTCTTGTGACCTCGACAGTGGGGCAGCAGAATGGCAGCGTGGTTCGCGTCTGCTCCAACCCGCCGTGCGAGACCCACGAGACAGGCACCACCAACACGGCCACCACTGCCACCTCCAACATGGCTGGGCAGCATGGCTGCTCCAACCCGCCCTGCGAGACCCACGAGACAGGCACCACCAGCACCGCCACCACTGCCATGTCGAGCATTGGCGCTGGCCAGCAGCGAGACACCCGGCACACCTGTGTGGCCACCACCACCCCTGCTGTGGTTCGGGTTAGTGTGGCTGCTGGGGCCCTGGAGGGAGCCCATGGTTCTATCAAGTCTTCATGCCAAACTCGCCAGACCAGTGCGACCAGCACCACCATGACTGTGATGGCCACCGGGGCCCTGTGCTCCGACAGCGCACTTCTCGGGCCCAGCCTAGCACTGGAGGCAGGAGGCCACAGCACTGCTTTCGTGCAGTTGGCCTCTGCGAGCGGCCAAGTTCGGCCCAGTGGCCTCGGCGGCAAGGACAGCCCCGTAGCTGACCTGGGTCAGTTGGTGTCCCTGGGGCGCCAGCTGGAGGCACATCACACCCACACGACCAACACCCCCACCATGGCACGCTCCACCATGTGCGTCGGGGAGCCTGGCGAGATGCAGGGGATCCCCGCGCTTGCGTACGAGAGCTCACCTAGCACTGCTGTGACTGTGACAGCCCTGGAGGCGCTGCTGGGCTCCTCGGCCACCGTGACCCAAGTCTGCTCCAACCCGCCGTGCGAGACCCACGAGACAGGCACCACCAACACGGCCACTACCTCGAATGCAGGCAATGCCCAGCAAGTCTGCTCCAACCCACCCTGCGAGACCCATGAGACGGGCACCACCCATACACCCACCACCGCCACCTCCGGAGGAGGTGCAGGCCATCCCGAGGGGGGACAGCAGGCTCCCGCTAGCCGCCCCTGTGAGACGCACCAGACCACTTCCACCGGCACCACCATGTCGGTCAGCGTGGGCGCCCTGCTCCCTGACAGCACCCCCTCCCTCAGGACCCTGGAGTCCGGGTTGGAGGGGGCAGCACCGCCTACCATCGCTCCCCAGGCCAGCGCCTCATTGCTGGCTCCTTTCCCAACACAGAGGGTGTGCTCCAATCCCCCCTGTGAGACGCATGAGACAGGTACCACGCACACGGCCACCACCGTCACCTCCAACATGAGCTCAAACCAAGGTGAGTGGAGGTGGCCAGCCTGGCATTCGTGGTCTCCTGGAACCCAAAGCTCAAAGGCTGAGGGGAGCGGTAGCCAAAGGGTCTTATCTAGCCAGCGCCCAGCAGGTTCTGTGGGGCTGAGTTTACCTGCAGGGTAGGGAGGGTCCTCCTGGGAACTTCGTCCTCTAGTGGCAAAGCTGGGTACAGGCCCTGGGGCTCCTGTCATCCAGCCTCACCCCGAGGCCCCTGCTGGCTGAGTGCCTGTCACCCTGCTTTGCCTGTCCCCCCACAGATCCCCCACCAGCTGCCAGTGACCAGGGAGAAGTGGAGAGCACCCAGGGCGAGAGTGTGAACATCACCAGCTCCAGTGCCATTATGACAACTGTGTCCTCCACGCTGACGCGGGCTGTGACTACCGTGACACAATCCACACCGGTCCCCGGACCCTCTGTGCCGGTAAGAGCCCCAGAGCTCCAGAAGGATCCTTTTTTTGCCTCCCTGCCTCCCATTGCACCTTTGACACGTGCTGTTCTCAAGTCAGACACTGGGTGTCACTCTTGTACCAGGCACACTGTTGCTCCTGGTCCGCTCTCCAGATTATGAAAGAGGAGCCTCCTGACAGGACAGGGGAAGAGGCAGGAATCCCCGAGTCCCCTGGCGTGCTCTTTCGTTGTAGCCCGCAAGAGTGCCAAGGCGGTTATCTGAGTGCCCCTTTTTGACGAGACTAAGGCTTCTCTGAGGACGGGTTAAAATGAACCAGCAGGTCTCAAAGGTCTCTCCCCCTCTCGCCGCACCCCTGCTGCTCAGTGACCCGACACCCCTCCCCATTTAATAGGGTTGTGCTGGTCCATTGAGAACGGGTATCCAGGTCCACAAGGAAAGATGAAGGCTACCTGGTTCTGGCCTTCCTCTCCCCCCCTCTGACAGGGGCTTCTCTCCCTTTCTAGAAGATCTCATCAGTGACTGAGACTACCCCAGGGGCTCTGACCACCGAAGTCCCCATCCCGGCCACGATAACAGTGACCATAGCCAACACAGAAACTTCTGACATGCCCTTCTCTGCTGTTGACATCCTGCAGCCCCCAGAGGAGCTCCAGGCCTCCCCAGGGCCTCGCCCGCAGCTGCCGCCGCAGCAACTCCTGCAGCCTGCCTCCGCGCCCCTGATGGGGGAGTCCGCCGAGGTCCTGTCAGCCTCGCAGACCTCTGAGCTCCAGGCCGCTGTGGATCTGAGCAGTACAGGGGACCCATCCTCAGGCCAGGAGCCTGCCAACTCAGCCATGGTGGCTACTGTGGTGGTCCAGCCACCTCCACCCACACAGTCGGAAGTAGACCAGTTGTCACTTCCCCAAGAGCTGATGGCCGAGGCCCAGGCAGGCACTACCACCCTCATGGTAACAGGGCTCACCCCCGAGGAGCTGGCGGTGACTGCCGCCGCCGAAGCGGCTGCCCAGGCTGCAGCCACAGAGGAAGCCCAGGCCCTGGCCATCCAGGCTGTGCTCCAGGCCGCACAGCAGGCCGTCATGGGTAGGTGCAGGGGATGAGTAGCTCGCCATGTCGTCTGAGGTCAAGGCCAGACGAGTGCCCTGAAGGGAAGATGACGGGCCCCTTGGGAAGAGTGAGGACACAGTGTTCCGGAGCCCCCCTGCTGACGGGGAGCCACGAGAAGAGGCCTGTGTCCTGCCAGGGTGGCACGGGCCAGACGTGACAGGGAAGACGGGCGCTGCGGCTGGGCTGGGCTCCCAGGAAGGGGGCAGGACCCCTTGGTTGGGGAAGGGCAGGGTAGAGGTAGGCCGAGAAATAAGGCTGGCGGGACAGGCTTTCAGGGTCTGTGTCCCTTGGCGCTGACCGTAGTGCCGAGTGGGCTCCCGGAAGGTGACGTTGGGAAACCAGGAATGGGCTCTGCTTGGCTGGCATCCCTTTTGAGTAGTATTTTTTTTTTCCATCCTGGAGCAGGCACTGGGGAGCCCATGGACACTTCCGAGGCGGCAGGAGCCGTGACACAGGCGGAACTGGGCCACCTGTCAGCTGAGGGCCAGGAGGGTCAGGCCACCACCATCCCCATCGTGCTGACGCAGCAAGAGCTGGCCGCCCTGGTGCAGCAGCAGCAACAGCTGCAGGAGGCACAGGCCCAGCAGCAGCACCACCACCTCCCCACGGAGGCTCTGGCCCCTGCCGACAGCCTCAATGACCCGACCATTGAGAGCAACTGCCTCAGCGACCTGGCTGGGGCCGTCCCCAGCACTGTGGCCCTGCTGCCCTCCACAGCCACTGAGAGTAAGCGAAGCCCTGCCAGGCCAGGTGCACATTCCCTGTAGCATTGTCCCCAGGGAACTCAGCTGACTGAGGAGAGGTTCTGGGGGGTATCTGGGCATCTCCACGCACGGGTGGAGAATATGGCCTGGTCCGAGGGAGGGGCTCCCACTCAGAAGCCGCGTCTCAGACCTTTTCCACTGACTCCTCCGCTCCTCCCAGGCCTGGCTCCTTCCAACACGTTTGTGGCCCCCCAGCCAGTCGTGGGATCCAGTCCCGCTAAGCTGCAGGCTGCCGCTACCCTGACTGAGGTGGCCAATGGCATCGAGTCCTTGGGCGTGGTAAGTCTGGTGTGATGGGGCTTCTGGGGTCACTACCTGTGGGTCCCAAGGGCTGGAGGCCCGAGCTCTTCTCTTTTGTCTTCCAGAAGCCAGACCTACCGCCCCCGCCCAGTAAAGCCCCCGTGAAGAAAGAGAACCAGTGGTTTGATGTGGGGGTTATTAAGGGCACTAACGTAATGGTGACACACTATTTCCTGCCACCAGACGATTCTGTCCCATCTGATGTAAGTGTCCCCAGGATTTGCTGCCCTCAGGTGGGTGGGGCCTGGCCATGAGGCCGGTACAAGGGCTCAAGGAAACTTCTGAAGCGCCCCAGGGATGCCCTCGCCCTTGGGTTCAGCCCCAGCACAGCCGGGTGCAGAGCTTTCCCCCAGGCTCTCCCTCCTCCTGCCCCCCCTCGTAGCAGTGAAGACGCTCGGTCCCAGTCCTTTCGCCATGTCCCCCTCTTGTGAATTGGGGTGCCGTTACTGCCCTCTTGCCCCTCCCCTCCCCCGTGTGGACCTGCGTGGCCCCCAGGTTGGAAAAAAGGTTCTGCCTGCCCCAGTAGAGTTTACGTCGCTTTCTTCTCTCCCTCTTCCTTTTCTTCTGGCCTCTTCACCCAGGACGACTCGGGCACTGTTCCGGACTATAACCAGCTGAAGAAGCATGAGCTGCAGCCTGGCACAGCCTATAAGTTTCGTGTTGCTGGGATCAATGCCTGTGGCCGGGGGCCCTTCAGCGAGATCTCGGCCTTTAAGACGTGTCTGCCTGGCTTCCCGGGGGCCCCCTGTGCCATTAAAATCAGCAAAGTGAGTCTTACTGCAGAGTGGCCCTTGGTCCCCAGCCGGTCCCCTGCCCACCTGGAGCAGAGCAGGCCTTGGCCGAGTTCAAACACAGACAGTGCTGGGCCAGGTGGGGTGACTCGGGAGGGGCCCCAAGATGTGGGCAGAGTCGGCCAGGTCGGGGATGAAACTTCTACTCCTCGCACTATCATCAGTTGCCAGGCTGATGAGGGCAAGTTCCTTCCTGTCCCCTGGCCTCATTCGTCCCTTCTAACGCGACAGCTAATGTTCAGTCAGTGTCCACTACATGTCATGTTCAACATGTTCGTTTGTTGTTTGTTTTTTTTTTTTTTAATCTAATTGTTCGGCTGTCCCGAGGAGGCCTGGGACCTGTTAGCTCCATTTTCCCAAAGAGGAAACTGAGACACCAAGAGGCTGACAAATCATTAGGTGTCAGGTTGGGTATAGGAAGGCTGTATTTTGTGCCCCTGTTCATTTTATTTTGCCATTACATACACGAAGCTGCCTTTCAGATGCAGGCCGATGAGGCCATCTCTGGAGCTCCTTGAACTCTGCTGTGAACTGAGTCTGTTGGGTTAGGCAGAGTGGTGAAGTATGAGTGGTCAGTTCTGAAAGTTGTGAAGTGGCTTAGCACAGGCAGGGTGGGAGGAAGTCACAAAGGCTGAAGACGGCACGGCCTGACCTCTGCCACCTTGGTTCTAGAGTCCAGATGGTGCTCACCTCACTTGGGAACCGCCCTCTGTGACCTCCGGCAAGATCGTTGAGTACTCGGTGTACCTGGCTATCCAGAGCTCGCAGGCCAGCGGCGAGCCCAAGAGCTCAGCCCCGGCCCAGCTGGCCTTCATGCGGGTGTACTGCGGGCCCAGCCCCTCCTGCCTCGTGCAGTCCTCCAGTCTCTCCAACGCCCATATTGACTATACCACCAAACCCGCCATCATCTTCCGTATTGCTGCCCGCAACGAGAAGGGCTATGGCCCAGCCACCCAAGTGAGGTGGTTGCAAGGTATGTGTCATTCATAGGGCTCATTGGGCAGCCCCTGGGGAGGGGGCAGGTCGAAGAGTGGAAGCCCCTGGCAAGCGTCAGGTGGGAAGGGCGATCCAGCTCCAAGCTGGACCTTTACCGTCTCGGGGGCGAGGGTGATGGCCTAGCGTACTACGGAGGTGTTTCGTTGCGGGGGCACCCTGCTTCATCTGAGGATGCAGGGAAAGCTTCCCAGGGGTGTTTGAGGTGAGATGGTGTGGAAAGGACTAGAAGAGCCCAAAGTAGGGGACACAGGGTGAGGCTGGAGCCCAGTGGACAACGGGTGAGAGCGGGGTAGAGGACCCGGGCTGCCCTATCGGGTTATGAGCCAGCTCGCACAAGGCTGACCGGGGAGGGCAGTGAGGGCCTCTGAGCGGAGTCCAGGCCCACCTTGAGGGGTGGCGCACCCACAGGAGGGACCGTCACGTTCAGCTGGTCATGCTGCGCGGCCGAGAGGCTGTGGGTGAAGGGGTGTGTACAGACGTATTCCTGGCCTGGGGGCTGCTGTGTGACTGAAGTTATCTGACCCACCTTGCCGTGTCACTCAGTGCTCCCATTCTTCCTTTTAGAAACCAGTAAAGACAGTCCTGGCACCAAGCCGGCCAACAAGCGGCCCATGTCCTCTCCGGAAATGTAAGCAGGAATCTCCTTCTGGGAACCTCTGGGACTGAGGGTGGATGGCTCCTGGGAGGAAGGAACAGGGGGAATAAGTAGGGGACTCCACTTCCTAAATGATGGGAGGGGCTTAACAGGGTGTGAACCTCCATTGGGCACCAGCCAGTAACCTACAGAGAGAGTCCCACAGTGTTGGTGTTGTCAGGAGCCAGGCTAACACTTTCTCCTTCCCTTTTCCTTCCATTTTCCCAGGAAAACCGCTCCAAAGAAATCTAAGGCAGATGGTCAGTGAGAGGCAGCTGGCTTGCACCTGGATTCCTCTCCCGACTCCCCCCCTGCTTCAGGAACATCACCCGCCAGGGCCCTACCTGCCCATCCCACCCACCTGGCGCTCACACCCTCCCAAGCTACCGGCCACCATTCATTCTCTCTCCTTTCCTGTCTGTTTTTAAAATAATCTCAAGAAAGCACATTTTACCATTGCTGTTGGGTGGAAGCAGAGGCAGGTCTGGAAGAGCAGTGAGCAAGTGAGAGCAGTGCGCCTGCCCTCTGAGTCCAGAGGCCCTGAAGGAGAGAAACAGAAACTTAGAGCAAAGATGCGAAAGCAGTGGAGGCATGCACCTCCCTGTCCTGCTAGCTTCTTGCTATTTATCACCCTTGGCTCCAGGGGGCAGCCAGGGGCGTGGTTGAGGGGACTTGGAAGCCAGGGAAAGGCCACCCCTCGATCCCCCTCCCCCCGCCTCTGCTCCTAGAAGCAAGAGAGGCTTTGTGGGGCACCCTGTGCAGGGTGTGTCTGATTTTACTTTATTTTGTTCCCTTTGCTTTTCCTGCCACCTAACAGCCCACCCTCAACTTCCTCATCCCATCTCCGCCCATGATCCCACAGGAAGCTTATACTTTCTCAGAGGCCTTCTTATCTACCCCACCTCTTCTCCCTTTCCCCCTTCGTTCCCATTTAAAACAAGAGAAGAAAGAAAAAGAAAGGGGGAGAAGGGGTCCCATGGTGGCCTGAACAGTGTTCTGTGAAAACCTCCTGACTCCCAGTGGGGCGTACAGAAGCCCCCTCCCCCAGCCTGGCTTCGGTCCCCCTGGGTCGGGGCTAGGGGCCACATCACCAACTGCTGCATTTGTTGTATTTTTTTAAGTTGAAATTGAAGTTAACATTTTTATTGTAATTTTAGCCTTAGTGTGTGGGGTTTTGTCCCTTTTTTGTTAGCTGTGTACAGAATGTGTATCTTTTTTTTTTTTTTTTTTTTTTTAAACTTTTCTCTCCTTGGCTAAGCCTTGGCAGGGATCTTTTGGAGGAAAAGCTGGGGGCAGCCAGGGCAGGAGAGGCATGGAATCCCCCTTGTGGACCTGGTGTTTGCTGCCGAGCTCAGTTTCCTCTTGTTGGCCTCTGCCCTCTGCCTGTCCCTAGGCCTCTGGGACAAAGGAGGGGTGAGCTGTCAAACATCACTCCCCATGGGCGAGCGCTCCACATCACACCACAGGATTGAGCTTGAAAGTCTGAGAGCCTGAAGTCAGATTTCTGAGGAGGAAAGCCCAGAGGCAATGGATCCTCCTGGTCCTGGGTTCACAGCACTCACCGCCCCCGCCCCCAGGTTTCCTCCTTGGCATAGATGACTTAGAGTATCTGGCACGCTTCTTCAATTGCTGTTTCCTGCAGCCACCCCCCTGCGGGCAGAGTTGTTAAGGAAAAGGACAGGGCGGGGGCATGAAGGGGAACTCCGTCCTCAGAGGCAGTCTGAGAGGCGGAGAGTGTGGCTTCACCCAGGAGGGAGCCTGGCGATGGCTAACGGCACCAGCCACCAGGGCTACGAATGCACTGTCCCCAGGCTGTGCAGTCCTGGGGTCAGACTGGGGCTCTGCTTCAAGTGGCTAATGAGCCACCTTTCTGCCCCACACCTAAGCTTTAGGCAAGGAGCAAGGCTTTCAAGCAGGTCACACAAGACTTAAAACGAGCAGCCCATCTTTTCAGATACCCTTCTCCCAGTCTGCCCTGGAGACCAGCTGTGGCTGCCCAGCCGCTGTCGCCGCCGCCACCGCCACCACCACCACCGCCGCCGCCGCCGCCGCCACCACCACCACCTGGCTCTTTCTGGGGCCTCTGGTTTGTTGTATTATAGTATATTTCGCTGTGGAAAATGTCATGTTTAGTCACCTTGGAGCCCACTCGCCTGGTCCCATTGTTTTCCCTGTTCCTTGTCCCAAGCTCCCTTTAATTTCTCTTGTTTCTGAGAACAGTACGCCCGTACATCTATTGTAGAGTAACCCCTGTGACTCAATATTACCATAGTGCAATGTCGTTTTGTGCTATTTTGAACAATTAAGACTTTTTTTGAAATAACCATCTGCTGTGTCTCACTGTCTGGAACTGCCATGGGAGGGGGCTGGATGTGGGGAGCCGGGACCCCCAAGCTCACCAAATTCCCAGGGACCCTCCTGCAGGGCCTGTCTTTGAATGGAATTCTATTTCCCAACTGCTTCCCAAGTTTGAAGGTTCCATGGCCTTAGGACCAGATTGTTGGAGCAGAAGGTCCCACGGCAGCTACTGTGCAGCCAGGGGCTCCCTAGGTAGTTGCTAGCAATTCCCCTCCCTGACCAGAGAACAGGATACTAGGGCAAAGGCTTCCCACATCACCAGTTAACCCAGTTGAGGAGGCCTTAACCAGAGCTGCTTCCAACCCTCACCCCCAGACTTCCTTGAGGACTCGGGACCCCAAGGAGACCCCCCCCCCGAGAATACCAACTCCCTGGACACTGTTGCCCATGGGGTGGTTCCACATAGCACTCAGCAGGCACTGTGGGACTGAATTCTCTTGGCCTGCTTTCCTGTGCACTGGAGCCAGGGCCCCAGAGGGTAAGAAGCAGAACTCCAACTCTTTGGTAGCCCCGCTGTTGGGGTGGGCTGGTTTTGCTAGGGTATAGCCAGGGTTAGGTAGAGCGAGCTAGCACTTAGTGCCGACCAGCCAGGCAGCCCAGAGGGCCTGGGTGTAGCCAGGTGGTTCCCTTAGTACTAACGCTAGAGACAGAAAGCAAGGAGAGACTTCAGCATGGCTGCCTCCTTATGCACCCCGGCCCCCACCCCTCCCCGCGCGCCCTTTCACTCTGGTATCAAAAACTGCCATCTCCATCTCTGCCTGGTAAGTTCACACACCCATACAGTGCCCCTCATGGTTGCAGGGGAGGCCCAGTCCAATTCATCTCTACTAGGAAGCCTTGGGGCCAGCTCTTTTCTCTGGTGGTCAGTCCATTGGGCTCTTGTGGGCTCCTGTTGATCTTGGCACTGAGAGCCATAGCTCTGTCTTCACTGCACCAACTCTGACCTGGCAGCCCAGGGGCCTCCAGGGGAAGAGGCAAGCACATGTCCTTCACATTGGAGCAGCAGGAGCAAATGCTCTCAGTGGTGGGAGGATGCAAGCCAGCTGTAGCCAAGAGTCTCTGGGGCTGGCCCCAGGTGGGGAGGGGCCTGTGCAGATCTGTCAATGCGTGACAGATGACTCTCTGGATACTTAGCCTTTGGAGGGCTGTGGGAGTTCCTTCCACCCACCCTCTGCTGTTCCTGTGCTCACCTGCCTTAAGGCAGCCTGCATGGCACTAGGGAAGGCAAGGGCCACACCAGTTGGTGTGCTGGTCTCAAAATAATGGGCTCACCATTCATTAGCCTCCTGGGGAGAGTCCCTCGAGGGAAGAGGATTTGTATCAGCTCTCCCCCTTGGGATTGGCCAAGACCTTATCTACTGGATCAAGGGCCAGGGGGCCCACCAACAGGAACCTTAGAACCCTCCACATACCGAGGCTTGTCCTTGACTGGGCATGAGGGGGACAGAGTGCAAGGAAGGCAGGGGTGAGGCTGAACATAAAGAAGTACACCATAAATGCTGACAGGCATCTGTGATCAGGGCAGGTCCACACAAGCCCAGCTGAGCCCAAAGCGAGGAGTGAGCCCCCCTAAGCATGAGCTAAGGTGGAGGGTGGAGGCAAAACAGAGAAACTACACTGTGCAGTCATACCTTGTTTTTTTTTGTTGTTGTTGTTTTTTAAGGTTTTTATTTTTAGAGAGAGGGAAGGGAGGGAGAAAGAGGGAGAGAAACATCAATTGGTCGCCTCTCGCACGCCCCCAACAGGGGGTCCATTATTTTGAGACCAGCACCAACTGATCTGGCCAGCAACCCTGAGACGTGCCCTGACCTGCAATTGCACCAGCGACCTTTTGGTTTGAAGGATGATGTCCAACTCCCTGAGCCACACCAGTCAGGGCAGTCACACCTTGTTTTATTCAATTCACTTTATTGCATTTCATAGATGTTCTGTCTTTTACAAGTTGAAGACAAGACCCTCTGCCAGCAAAAAGATTACAACTCACCCTGGCTGGTGAGGCTCAGTGGATTGAGGGTTGGTCACGGGTTCGATTCCCAGTCAGGGCACATGCCTGGGTTGCGGGGCAGGTCCCCAGCAGGGGGCGCACGAGAGGCAACCACACAGTCCTGTTTCTCTCCCCTCCCCTCTAAAAATAAATAAACAAAGTAAAATAAATAAGATTACAGCTCCTGTCCTGGGTTGTGGGGGGAGGTCCTTGGTTAAGGGCATGCAAGAGGCACATTGATGTTTCTCTCTCCCTTCCCTTCTCTCTAAAAACAAATAAATAAAATATTGAAGGAAAAAAAAGATTACAACTCACTTTATTGCAGTGTCCTGGAGCAGAACTTGCAGTATCTCCAAGGTGTACCTGTAACCCTACCCACCGGGAAGTTAGTCTTATTCTCACGTGTCACAAAGGGAAATTGTTTGGGGCTGGGAATGTCAGCCTACAGCAGGAACGGCCTGCCAAGCAGCCAGAGCCTGGAAAGAGTCAGCCACTGTGACATCAAAGACCAGCACACAGCAGCAGGAGCGGCGGTATAGGGCCATGCCCAGGCACTGGAATCGCTGTTCTGGCCACATTCTGGAGCTGCATCGATGAGGCAGAGAGGCCCACTCACACTCCTGGGCTGTAATCCATCCTTCCAGACAAAGGAGCCACCGACCCAGAGGTCCAAGTTCCCACAAGCCATACTGGGAGCCCAAGGCCCTCAGGCAATCTGGCCCCTGCACCTCAGCCTCCACATAATTACACCCTTAGCAGGGAAACTGAGGGACAGTTGGTCAGCCAGCCTTGCTCAGGGCACCAGATCAGGTCAGACAGTCACGAAGTCACACAAGCCACATCTGGGCACTAGGAGACAGGCCTGGAGAACTCGGGGGTCAGAAGGAAGAGAGGTCCCGGGACGCCCACTCTTACCTGTACAATTGATGTCCGGCTTTTGAGCTGCATCACTTGAGCTAAGAAGTCAATGTCAACGGTTGCCCTGTACTGACCCTGACAGCTGAAGCTGTTGATGAGGGGCTGATTCATCCAGAGGAGTTGCTCACTCTGTGGGGTCACAGGTCAGAGGGGCCTCATTTCAGGCACTTCCGTCTGTCCCCTCTCCTGCTGTACCTGAGCCCCACACCTTTGCTGAGGCCACCACCCTTGGTCTCCCCACCGGGCCCGTACTAGGGCCCCTCTTAGGATTCAGTTCACAGGTGGGGAGAGGGAAAGCTGACCCGCGCACCCCAACACACCCCACCTCCCAGCCCCCGCACCCCGCCTGGTCTCAGACCTTCCTGCCGGCTCACCCAGTATTTCCCACCAGGAAGATCTTGAGCTGACGGCCCCAGCAGCAGCAATCGTGGGGTTCAGCCACTAGAGGGTCGCAGCAAGCCCGAGGTGGGGGCGGAGCCGGAGCGCGGGGCGGGGCCAAGCGCCTGCCAAGCCCCGCCCCCGACCCGGCCCCGCCCCCGGGCCCTGCGGAACCCCTAAGGAGGGGGTGGGTGGGGCGAAGCTGGGTCAGCTGAGTGACAGTCACGGGATCGTGACCATCTCCGTCTGGCTTCCTGGAGGAGAGGTAGGGATGAGAGGGGGGTGGGGGGCGGGGGGGGGGGTCTCTGAGTGTGGCGGGCCAGTGGTGGGGCCCGTTAGGGGTAGGGTGTTGTTCTGGAGTATCCCCCGTTTGGTGGGGTCAGTCCTGGGGCTGGTCCCGGGCCGGAGGGCAGCCCTGCACACCAGTTGGGGGAAACTCAAGGGCTGGATCCCCAGGCCGGAGAGCGTGAGGGAGACAGGTCGGGCAGCCCTGGTGCCCACTCAAGCCTGGGGTGACCTGGAGCACAGAGGAGCCCGTTCAGGAGGCTGGGATCCAGGAAGATGGGGAGGCCTGTGGGGGAGCCGCACCTCCAAGTCCCAAGTTCCCCAGGATATGGAGAAGGAGCGGGAGACTCTGCAGGCCTGGAAGGAGCGTGTGGGGCAGGAGCTGGACCGAGTGGTGGCTTTCTGGATGGAGCACTCTCACGACCAGGAGCATGGGTGCGCCTCGCTCTTCCTTTCGGTGCCCCCAGCAGGATCTTTGCCCCAGCTGAGCCCCCACCTCACTCTCAGCAGTCTCAGATCTGCTGGGCCCAGCAGGCTGTTGGGAGTGCAGGGCCCCTTCCCTTTGCTAACTCTGTGTTCCACAGGGGCTTCTTCACGTGCCTCGGCCGCGATGGGCATGTGTATGACGACCTCAAGTATGTCTGGCTGCAGGGGAGGCAGGTAGGAATGTGCCTAGGCTTGCAGCTTTCGCAGGGGTGTAAGACAAAGTCAACTTGGTCTGTCCTGCTTCGGTCCGCACATGCTCGCACAGGACAGGGCCTGTCATCTTAACACTGTTCCTCCCCCGACAAGGGCACCTAGGACTCCCCCTCATCCCAGCCCTGAGGACCCCGCTGCCCCTTGCTTAAGCCATGCTCCCTCTGCTCCTCCACAGGTGTGGATGTATTGTTACCTGTACCGCAAGTTTGAGCGCTTCCGCTGCCCTGAACTTCTGGACTCAGCTAAAGCAGGTGCCCGCTCCCTGCTCCTATCTCCCCAAAGGCCACTCCAAGTTTATTCAGTAGCTCCTGTGTGCCTCCTTTCTAGAGGAGTCTAGAAACAGCGAAGAGCTTGGGGGACGCTCAAAGGTGGAAAGAAGAGGTGAGAGT